TTTCGGCGGCGCTGAATCCTGTTCCAAAAGAGACCATGAGTAACAGGATGATACCATGTCCCCTCTTTTCATGGCACCTTCCAATATTATATAGAGTTTCTTCATATAAACCTGAGCCCAGAAATGGATGATACACTTGAGCTAAGTTTTGGATTGGATATGTGTGAGTGTGTGTGTCTGTGAAGTATTTCAGGATATGCAGGAGCCACTTGAGCAAAGCCTGCTGCTTATGTTATCGATTTCTTGTTCATCCCTTGTTTTTGAATGGGGGAAAACATCCTCTTCTGAACGAGTAATTGTTCAGCTCAGATGATGCTCCTATTTTACAATTTTATGCAGAGGTTGTCAGAGACACTTAGGTCTCAAACAAAGAAAATCGCAGAAGTAAAATAAATGCACACTAGACTGTTTGCGGCTGAGACCAAGTCTCCAAAAACTGCTGCAATTTCGCGCCACAAGTTGTAATGATATGTTTTCACTTTCAGAGTTCGGAATTTCACATACACAAGGAGTGTTAGCTGCGATAGTCTCGGACGAAGTGAAGTTTTTTTGGTGATGTTGCTTTTTGGGCAGGGAGAAGAAATCCAGATTTTGGTACAGGTTTTCATGGTTAGTTGGTTTGTGTTGGAAGTGTAGGTGTTATTCGAACTCCGTGTTCGTGGCGTGTTGTGTGTTTGTAGATTCGGGCGACCTCTAGGGGTCCCTGAAGAGGTAATGATGAGTTCGTGGAAAAACATGATTGCAATTCAGTATTTATGCATTTGTACGCACTGTATTCTGATGTATCTTCTTTTATTATTTATATCGAGCTGAAATATTTTGGAAGGCCAGAATTAATGAGTCGAATGAATTTGAGAAAATTTTGGAAACCTTTTGAATGCTGACAAGCAGCAGATGAAGCTTGAAGTATATATAAATCGATCAGAATAAGGTTGCTTTCTTATTCTTAGGTTTACCACTTCCAGATGCATTTTCATGATGTTTAATTAATAGATGATGCATTTATTATCAATTCTCATCTTTGTTTCCCTGTACACACGAGGTAATTCACAATTTAGCTTATTTTTTCGTTTTGTGAAAACTGCCTAAAAAAAGGAGCTCATCTCTTATATGGCGATCGGCGGTCAACTAAACATTTTAGATTGGCTTACTTAGATTTTTGGATTAATTTTCTGAAGTTTTTTTTTTTTTTTTTTTTGGACTTGTATCACGCTATCTAAATTTGAGGTTATGTTCTTCTGGTGAAAGATGAAGTTGGTTCATGAGTTGTCGTTGACTGTGTCAGTGGTTCTCAAAAGTAGCAAAGGAAGCTTGGCAGTTTCACCAAAAAAGTGCCAACGTTTTTCTTCATGCTAAGCAATTTTCACAGGAATCTCGATGAAACGCCATGTTCAAAATTTTAAATATACAAATTATGTTTTGGGCTTGTTATTATGAGAAATCATCCACGGGTTCAGATGAATAACTCCTGACCTTTTTTGAACCCGAAGTTTGCGAATGCACGGTCACAACATATGCCATGATATTTCAGACGATTTCTTGTTGAAAATTTTCCCAAGAGACATAGGCTCTTGTTTTTTTTTTTATTCTGTACTTGATTTGAAGCTGTTTTTCCTTGTTGCAAAATTGGACAATGAACATTGAGAAAAATTGCCCCAATCTTCCTCATCGCGCGAGTGACAATGACACGATGCTTTCATCTGGTCCAGTATACAAACATTCCCAGAAGAACTGGGGTATAAATTTCGGGTGAGATCCAAACAAATATTTGAGCATGTGTACGTTTGGAGGGACATGTTCGCTGGAATGAATATATATGTGCCTTAGGGACTGAGGGAAAAGCGATATACTGTACAGTTCATCAAGTTCCGTCAGTTGATCTTAATTCTGTGGAGTGCTGTAAAAATGAAGTTTCCAGATCATGTGTAGCTTTTTCGGGGTATAAAAATGGAACCGAAATGCATTCTCAGATTCGGTGGTCGATAGAAAATCGAAGAAATGGGTGGAGTTAGAAATGACTTTGTCGATTCAGCAAGATTTTTGATGCATCTTCTAGAATGAGCCCGATATTCTTCAATTTCTTCTGAATCAGATAATCGAGCCTATTATCCGATCATTCCTCGGGATACTATCGAAAAACTTGTCTTTGTATATCAGGTATGCATCGATTTTAAAACATATAATGTGCGTTTTTTCAACACCGAAATAGGTACAAGTCGAAGAAAGCATTTCCGGGGTAGAACTGGTCTACGTTTTATTATAAGCGTGGGTTGTCTTTCGACTTCAAAATAAAAACAGGGTTTTAATGTCAGATGAATGTTTCAGAGTCATGAAGTAATTTCCCATGAAATATCTTGCAGTTACATCGTTGGAAAACGGATTTATTGGGAACTGAAATTCATCAGCAGCAGAGAAAATTTCGATTTTGAAACTATTTTGACTTAATTAAAATTCCATTCCTCCGTTGTGAAAGTCTAAAAAGGAAAAAGCTAATTGCCAAAGGATTGCTTTCATTCACTTAGCAGCTGGTTCGGAAAAACTTTCATTTATGGAAGAATGCATAATTTATGAATTTTGTGTGGCAGGAAGTATTAGTATTCAAACAGGTATGTATGAAAACGAATCATGATGGCTTTTAAATGAATTATTCAAATCTTATTATTATTTTTGTTTCTGCACTTGCTTTTGGCGATGAAGCGTTTTGCAAGCTTTTAACGCAGATTTTAAGCTTTCGAAACCTGAAAATGTATCAGTTTTTTCGGTTTGATATCTATTTAATGTTTCTCCCTTTTATTCAATAAATATCTCATTTCCCAGGAAAAAAAGGCTGCAGCATATGGGCGTCTATTATAGGCCAATAAGCGCAAGAAAAGACTTTTTTCAAATGAAATTCCGAATGAGAAAGGCAAGTTTGATAAATTGGAACGCAAGTCTTGTCTGTCGAAGTACGATATCGGAGAGCTCGCAATGATTTTCAATAATCCGCGTCGCGCGCATTTCCCCAACCGGAATGTGAGAAGTTGGAACAGAATAACAACGCCGGAAGTTTAATTTTTTATTGATTGATTTTATTTGAAGGAAGTCGGTAGTTTCCTGAACATCATGCTTCATTCACTTCTTATACGGAGTAGGCGGATGGCTGTCGAACATAATCCAGAGAAAACCATCGCAGGGAAACTTTTGTACCACGGGGGCCGCGTCACGTGGAAATAGTTTGAGATATTCTACAGGAAATATTTTTCAATAAACTTTTCCAGTGTGAAATTGAATCACAATTGACGGAAGCTGAAAATAAAACATTTGTTGTTATCCATCATAATGTTTCCCGAGACGAGTTCGAAACGTCATCATTCACAAGAGTTTTGAACATTACGATTCGTCCAGATATTCCTGATTAATTCGTGATTTCTTTATCAATTTACGATTTTTTTTTCATTTTCGCATCACACACAAATATTTCAGATGTAATTTCAAAGCACCTTGAACCACTTATTCCTGTTTGTCTGAATTCACGTGCAAAATGAATCGGTTCATTCCAAGCCTTGTCCGTTCTCAAACCAGTCGACATATGAACCCGTTCTTGGGAGCTTAAAATACCTAATTTCCAAATAAATGAACAATGCGTAATGCCAAGAAATTTGCCATCATATAATCAGATCAGCATTTTGTTATTAATGCAGGAATGGAATTTGTTCCAGTCGAATGCCAACGGTTTTGTCTGGTAAAAAAAAATGACCAGAAGCGGCGCCTTCCCGCAGCGTGTATTGGAGCTAGAACAGGCCTGATGCTCATCCATTTATCTCGCCAGAACTTTACAGTTTTGTTCTCTATATGGATGGGATTACGAAGGCACATAGAAAGAATGTCTTATCTTCGAATGATGGATGCACGAGAATTCTGACAGCACGGCTTGTTTGCGAGAGCAGCTCCAATTTCAAGCAAAACGGATGGGCTCGAATAAGCTCGAGACATCGGATCGCTTGATAGTGCATAACGATCACTTTTTTCTTCCGAAAAAAAAAAAATCGGACATCTGCATCCTATTTTTTAAAAAGCAAAATTAGAAAAAGGAAAGTTCTTGTACACTTTAATGCCTGGTGAATCGTTGGATACAAGATTGCTGTGCTTTGTTGTACTATTTTTAAAGGCCCAGCACAGTCTGAGATTAAGGATGTGAAATATGTACTTTACAGTACTTTTAATGCAGAAAACGGACAGCTGGCATTGATTACATATGAAAATACTGTACGCCACGGAAAGTACTCGGTTTCGAAACATGAATTAAGCTATTTCGACACGAAGGCAAGTCCAAGAACATTTCGGTATACATTAAAAAAAATGAAAAACCTCCAGCAGCGATAAAATTCCGTGTCAAGTTCATGATAGAACTAGACATAAAAATACTTGTGGCGACAGAGAAATTTTTCTGCACGTCATGAAAAAATCACTTGCATTGCGACATACCACAATGAAACAATGAATCTCATTCAAGATTTGAACTGCAAAATTGTAAACATTCCAAAGTTTAATGTTCTTTAATGTTTCCTACCTTTTTTGTGATCATATAAAAATTCATTCGAGTGATAGATCTTGAGATGTACTAACTTTTAACTCAACTGACCTAACTGAACCTTTAACTCATCTTTTTAGCTAATTTATTTTTCCTTTTTTGATAAGAATCTAGGAAAACTGTTCCGAGGAATTTTATCTCACTGGTGCTCAAGCCTGTGGTGCAACAGGGACTTGAACAAAAAAGCTAGTTTACTAGTGTGCATGCATGAATTTAATTCTGTAACAATAAATGGGGTATTTCTTTATTATTCTAAATTATTTAAGAATAAATTTGTCACCCGAATAATCCCTAGAATAATACGGAATTTCTTTTTCTTATTTTCTTTGTTGCAGATCCAAAAGTCCTTTCAATCTCTGGGCACTGCAAGAGCTTCCAATCCCTTGACGAACATTGACCTCTCTGGCCAGCATATAGAGGAACAAGAACAATGGGTGACCCGACGGACTATTCCCCCAACGGGTCATCGCTGGTGGACGAATTCCGGCTGCTCAAGAACCTTTCCTCTGAAAACGTGACCCTTCAAGACACATTCGACATACTGTGCAGGTCTCGCCGACCCAACTTCACTCGGCCGAGTCTCTGCGACCTGGAACAAGCCAGCGGGGATTCGGAAGCATTCGAAATAGACGATTTGAAGCCCATAGTTGCCATCGTCGTGCCGATTCTGTTTGGCATTATCGTCATCGTCGGTCTGATCGGCAATTTTCTCGTCGTCGTCGTTGTGGCTTTCAACCAGCAAATGCGAAGCACCACCAACATCCTGATCTTCAACCTCGCGCTGGCTGATTTGCTCTTCATCATTTTTTGCGTGCCATTCACAGCGACTGATTACGCTCTGCCGTCTTGGCCTTTCGGCGCAGTGTGGTGCAAGATCGTGCAATACCTGGTCATAGTCACTGCTTACGCCAGCGTCTACACCCTGGTTTTCATGTCAATTGATAGGTTAGTCATTTTCATTTTTTTAAATCTTGCATTTTCAGCTACTTTAACTTGTAAATCGAAAAAAACCTGCATTTTCAAGGTACGCTGCATTTTTTTTTTTAGCATTATGGTACGCTTTTTAAAGGGATGTTAGATTGGTACATGCAAAAAGAAAGTGCATAGAGCAGGAAGACAATTTTCCTTGGAGAAATTATTCGAAGAAGACGATGAAGCAAACGTTTTGGAAATAGTTTTTACAAAACACTGACGCAAAACCCCAAGGAATTAAAAAATCCAACGATGCTGATCGAGTATGAATGTATGCGTGTTAAACGTGGAGTCATGATTCTGCCCTTTTTTGTGGATGTTCAAACTTGCTCAATATTAAATCACATAAAAAATTTTAATTTCTTTTTGTAGCAGTATATGGCTTCCAATATAATTCAATTTTCATAATTTCTGCAGTACATGTGGCGTTTGACAGTAAGTGCAACCTAAACTAGATTTACTTCATTTTATTTCCCAGCATACTTTGCACTGATTTTCATCCCATGATCGTTTTCTGCTCAGTATTATGTACCACTGATTCAGGAGCCCATGGTTGGAAAATATTGCGTGCCAAACATGTAGAAGAAGTGGTTTCATTGTGTACTAGCAGTGGTAAGTTTGTAGTGGTAACCTCGGGCTTAATTAATCCACTGAAAAATGAAGGCCTCTGCTCTACATATGTAAATCGCACAGAGCAGCGTTTCGCAACCCTTTTGGGCCCGCAGACCAGAAAATTTCCTTAAAATGTTTTGCAGACGGAAACATTTTTTTAAATACATGCCTCAAAATCCTCAAAATGGAACTTTTAATAAACAAATAAAGTTGAGAGCCAAAGAAGCATATACAAAGTGGAATCTCTAAAGAAATTGGAAAGCAGGGCTTCACGAAACATTTCTCGGAATTTACAATCAAAATAATTATTTTCAGCTATACTGAAAACTTGTATGAAGTGTTTTCATGAAAAAAGGCAACGCATTTATTTTTCATCTGATACTTTCGACTGCCAGCATGGACTGTCCAAAATTTCAGATAAAGATAACAGACTTCATAAATACCTTGGATACATTTTTGTTTTGCTGGAAAAAATTTCGCGCGGACCGGCAACAAAATATTAAAAAAAAAATTTGCAGACTGTGGATCATGGGTATTGTGCACCTCTATATTTACAGTACTTTCAATTCAAAGGTCAAGTTAGAGGTTGTTGTTGGCTGTCCATTTCACGCATCATCGTTCGTTCATCGCAGTCATTTTTCATATCAGGTACCTGGCAGTGGTGCATCCCATAGCCTCGATGGCCATTCGCAACGAGCGAAACGCCTACCGCGCCATCTTGCTTCTCTGGGCACTCATTTCTCTGGCATGCCTCCCGGCCATGCCCTCGCACGGCCTGCAACAATCCATCCACCCGGACGACACTTCCGTGAGCTACGTCTGCTCGTTCCTCAAGGAAGACTGGAACTGGCCCGGGTTCCAAATCAGCTTCTTCGTCACCTCGTACGCCATCCCGCTCGGCACCATTTGCTGCCTGTACCTCATCATGCTGCGGAAATTGTGGTTCGGCGTGGGTCCCGCTGGCCACACGTCCTCCGAGTCGGTGCGAGGCAAAAGACGCGTCACTCGCCTCGTCACCATCGTGGTGGCCGTGTTTGCCGTGTGCTGGTGCCCGATTCAAGTGATCCTGGTGCTCAAGAGTCTGGAGGCCTACACGATGGACACGGCCCGAGTGACGGTGCAAATCGTGTCCCACGTGCTGGCCTACATGAACTCGTGCGTGAATCCCATCTTGTACGCCTTCCTGTCGGACAACTTCCGCAAGGCCTTCCTCAAACTCATCTACTGCGGCAACGCTAGGCGGATGTCGAATCGGTTTTCGCGGAATGCGGGGAATGCGACGCAGAATGGCAGAGACGCCAATGCCATGGAGTTGGACAGGACCAACACGACGCGGGTGTTGCGGAAGAACTCGTCGCCGAATGTCGGCGGCGGCGGAGTGGCGCCGCCGGACGCCACGCCTGAGCCGACTCCTGCTGCTGCTGCTGCTTCTGCTGCTGGCGCCACGACGGCGCCGCTGACTGTAACTTACAACGCCACCGACGTCATTGTCGAGTTCGGGGAGAAGGCTTGAAATTCCTCATAGAGAAATCTAAAAAAAAAAAATTTGACAAGATTAGAAATTTGCTCTCTTCTTATCATCCGTCGACGCCGTCCAACAAACTTCATCTTTGGATATAAAACACGCATATCGTGTCGTCAAAAAAAAAAAGAAAGAGAGAGAAAAGAGAGAAAAAGCCGATAACAAATATACGTACCCTTCAGGTTTACGATTCGTTCATGGCGAAAAACTGGGAAAATGGTTGTTTATATTTCGAAAATGATGAGGAAATGATGCGCGAATGATTTTTTTTTGTAATGTCGTGGCTTTTTATTGCTACTTGGAAAGTGTACAGTTTCTTGGGTGAGAGTTGTTGTTGTGGCGGCTGCTGTTTTAACAAAAATACAAAGAAAAGGTGACCTTCACGCCGTTTCGAAGAACCCTGAAGACGTCATTGTTCCAAGGTACGAGTTTCAAATTTCCAAATAATTGCAATTCCTGGAAATAATTGCAATGTCTAGCTTCGAAAAAAAAAACATTGGTCTGAAAATAAGTCGTGAAAGGTATTGCACCATTCATTTTACCTGCGTTTTAAATGCTGATGTGCTGAGAAAAAAAATGAACAACGCATTATTTTACATTAATGGTTGATGCTATTTTTTTTCCATCAGATTTTGCTGTCTCGATTGCGTCAATAATACATCCAACGCAGAAATATGACCAAATATTCCTTTGTACAAAACTTGAGAGTTTCGATTCGCAACTTGTGGCTGTATTGTCCTAGTTCCACGCGCCTTTGAATACATTTTCACTGAATTCTACATAAAATTCAACATGATTGCTTAAAACCCTAAATCTTCCAGCTGATTCCGACTCGAAAGTCTATCAACTTCATTCCGCTCCAAATTGATGCCTCTGGAAGAAATTTAAGCATTTCATAAAACAAATCAATTTAATATATTTTATGTAATGCTTCTTGTGTATAGAAGATTTTTTTCCTTCAAAAGAAAATTAAAAATGTCGACAATGTCAGGCAATATCTTGCGCGGGTTGCAGAAATAAGCACCGGAAAACCACCCATGAAGGAACTGCAGAAGGGTAAAATTGCTAGAGTGTGACTTGCTTTCTTCGCAGAGTTTATTTGAAAAGGGTTCTTCAACAAGTTTTGTCACATTCTAGAATATTTCTCCGAGAGGAATGCAGTGTAATTTTATTTAGGACTCCATCAGTTTAATTCGAGTGTCAAATCGTTATCAAATCGCTCAGAGTCACCCAAACAAATGTCTAGAAATTCCGTGAATAAAGAAAATATGTTTCGAACGAAAAAGAATTTCAAGATAAACCCCTGGTATGAGCGGTTCATAATAAATCTTGCAAGGCAAGACCCCCTCAGACAGAGTGAATCGTGGGGTCGTAAATCTCTCATCCTCGCCCCGCACCCCGTTCGTCTAACTGTCCTGGTAGTCTCGACTGGATTCCCCAATGACATGCAAATATCGCCTCCGGGTGTGGTTCCAGTCCCAAGGAAAAAAGAGATGATTGCACGCCCGGATGCGATGTCAAGGGCAAAAATTCCATGGAATAAATGCCAAGATTCCACGTATTTTCTCCTTTTCTTCTTCAAAGAGGGTCATTTTAATCGGGTTATATGCGCAGTGATGGTCAGAACTGATGCGTGCCAATCTTGAAAATTGCACAGCATGTGAAATATGTGAATTCATGAAACGTCTTCTCTTGCTCTTGCTACATGCATTCCTCAAACAAAACAAGATAAATGAAATTTTCTCAAATGGTATCTTTTTAAAGTTCCGCGTGGAATGTATCTTTATATTTTGCGGATTATGATGGTATTCATGTTGATGAAGGATTAATTACTGGGAAAAGTTGGGAGAATCCAGTCACAGTAGGAGAAACATCCAGCAGATATTTCTCTGGTGAATTTTTTCTCTAATTTTTGCAAGGATTTCCAAAGGTTTTTGACATTTACAGAAACGAACAAAATAACGGGCAATGAAGACTCAGTGAAAAAATTAAACGTAGACAATCAGCTGGTTTGTAGCCAAGAGCATATTTTGAAAAAGACGCCTCGAATTTTCTGTTCTTAGCCTTTTCAGAACAATTTATTTTGCAATTTAATGGCAAGAAATGACACTTTTCAAATGAAAACACTAAGCAAGGGACTGAAAAGCAGTTTGTGCAGTAATACGAATCCAGACACAGATTTGAAATATGTTAAGATAAATATTGAATAATAAAAGAGCAGTGATCCCTCACAGTTAAGGTTGTATATGTCGATTTTAAAAACCTTTGTAATAAAAATAAAAATTTTGAGGACAGAAAACCTTCACTGGGTTTTCCTTTGGGAATTTACGAAAATATAAAGCATATTATTGCCTTGGAAAAGACCATTCAGCATTTGAAAAAGTTGCATATTGTTTGTACAGTATTTGTATATTGTTTCACTGACTGAATTTCGACACGATTTATTTTTATGCTGAGAGCCTCTTCTTCTTTTAATTACATTTTCATGCGACCTTCACATTTATCGTCTTTTTTAAATTACTGCTCGAAGTCTAGATGCGGGCAATAAATTAAAAAATATCTTCTTTAATTATTTCTCTAATTATTTCAGGAACACCAGCTGATGATTTTCTACTCGTAATTTTGCGAAGGCAAGGAAAAAATTAATCCAAAATAATCACGGAACGCGCAGCTAGAACGCTGTTTCCAAATAGTTCCCAGGAAACCCCTTGTGCAATTGCTAACTCATACGGAAAACATAGCAAGTCTAACAGAAGAGCAGGGACTTGCTGTTGGCACACTTGGCAACAGCANCTGACTGAATTTCGACACGATTTATTTTTATGCTGAGAGCCTCTTCTTCTTTTAATTACATTTTCATGCGACCTTCACATTTATCGTCTTTTTTAAATTACTGCTCGAAGTCTAGATGCGGGCAATAAATTAAAAAATATCTTCTTTAATTATTTCTCTAATTATTTCAGGAACACCAGCTGATGATTTTCTACTCGTAATTTTGCGAAGGCAAGGAAAAAATTAATCCAAAATAATCACGGAACGCGCAGCTAGAACGCTGTTTCCAAATAGTTCCCAGGAAACCCCTTGTGCAATTGCTAACTCATACGGAAAACATAGCAAGTCTAACAGAAGAGCAGGGACTTGCTGTTGGCACACTTGGCAACAGCAAGCGGGGAAGTAAATTAGATTCACGCTTTTCCCCATCACTTCCTACTGCGTGTCGTGAGAGAAAAGAGCAATGCACACATCAGGGTAAGAAAATTGTAAACGAATTACTCTGGCATAGAAAAAGGAGGGGGTTCTTCATTACATCCATCCAAAGGAGAACCCGACTGTGTTTCCCCCGTTTTGGGTTTGATTGCATGACCAGTGGGGGGACTGGGATATATACTAAGGCATCCTTACATTAGATTGTGTGCACTTGGATTTTACGATCAAGGTTTACTACATTGCATTTCGTTAATGGGGGAGAGCATTTTTTTTTTTGGGGGATTCGGAGAATTGAATCCGGTGCTGTTCACCGTCTTGATAAATGTGTATAGATTCAAGCTGATGAATATCCAATCGTTACATTCATCAGTAGGACGATTGTGAAACGAAATTTATTTTAAATATTGAAATAAAATAATGATGAAAAGGTAATCTTCCAAATCTTATAGGAGCATGATAAAGTATTAGCCTAATACAGTATTTCTTCTCGAAGATTCTTTCTTATGCTTGTTTAATGAATTAAAAATTATCTGTGATCAGGCTCAACACCCTGTGCGCTTACATTTTTCCTTAGTACTGCAATTGCCCTATGGTACTGTGTTTCTCATCATTCCAGAAAAAAGATGGCAATTTATCGTTCGTGCATTCGCATTTATTGTGCTGTATCATATTTTAATCTTCGTATCTTTTATTTTTCTCTTGCAGTATGGACTCGAAACTCTTGGACTTTTGGAGACACCCTGACTGAGCCCCAAGGTGACTTTGAAACTACAAAAGTTGGAAAATCCGAGTCTTTTCCTGATAACTGAGGAGTTAACTGGAAGGCGTCGAAGTTTTGAAAAATATTTGAAGTGTTGAGAAATTGGATATGTCGAAAAATATTGGGAATGACCGGTGGCAGATTTTGTGATGGACACGTGCAGCTATTCAAAGTTTCGGACGAAAGGATGTATACAATGGACTCGTTCTTTTTTTATTGAGATTTGCTCAGAAGATGATTGTTTGAAATCTTCGGGGAAATTGGTCTCAAAAGAAAAGATTGACTGAAATTTGTTCGCTTCGGTGAAAAATTGAAATGGAAACTAATCTAGTCACAATTAGTCTTTTTGAGGGGCGAGTGAACGTTGAGAATTTTTTTTTACATTGAAATAATTTTTGGTTGCGGGAATGTGAATTCTTCTTCGATGTCTGATTGAAAACAAAACAAAAAACTAGCTCAATTGTGGGATCTGTTTTTTCCGTGCCGAACTGATTTTTCAAGGCAGTGAAAGAGTGACTGAATCGATGTATGCATGGGACGTATGAAACCGTTCCTTTTTGAAAGATCGAGAGGAGGGACATTTCTTCAAACTTTTATTTGACGCATTCGTTTCCAGCAAGTATCGAAGAAAAAAAAACCATGTACGCAATTTTCTTTACCGCGCGATTTCTATAGATTAGTTTACAAATCTCGCTGAAATTTTTTTTTCCAAATTTCCATATAGTCCATGAACTTCAATTGATGTTGAATAAATGTGCGGTTATTCCTACATAATGAGTCAATTGCTCTTCTAAGAATATTATGATCATCCTTCTTTCAACAGCTGGGGATTTGGATGATACATTCCACAAAAAACCCCGATTTTTGAGCTGCGAAACTCAAAAAACAAGAACGAACCAGCCAATAAAAAGTAATGTGGTAAATTGCGTTAAAACAGGTGGAAGAATGTGAAAGGAGGCACTAAAACCCGGCCGTATTCCATAAATTATAATAATTATGAGCTTGAGAATGAAAAAAAATCCAT